TGGCGAGAAAGGGACACTACTTCACTGTTGGTGGGAACGCCGACTGGTTCTGCCTTTTGGAAAACATTATGGACGATTCTCAAAAAATTAGAAATTGAGCTCCCACTTGACCCAGCAATACCACTCCTGGGAATATATCCCAGAGAGGCAAAAATGTATAGTCGAAGTGACATCTGCACTTGTTTGTTCATTGCAGCACTCTTTACCTGGGTGCCCAAGAACAGATTATTGGTTAAAGAAACTTTTGTAAATCTACACAATGGAGTACTATGTAGCTGTTAGAAAAGATGAAGTCATGAAATTTACATACAAGTGGTACTACATGAAAAGTATCATGTTAAGCGAAATGAGTCAGAAAGAGAGGGAAAGACATAGAAAGACTGCATTCATCTGGGGGACATAAACTAACAAAATAGGAGATTAATACCCAAGAATAGCCAAGATCAGTACCAGGAGGATTACTCCATGGCCTAGAGGCTATCCGGGCATTCTAAGGGAAAGGGCAGCTCAGATAGAGAAGGGAGCACCAAATAAAGGGTGTTTGGAGGATCCTCCCAGGATGGGAAATGCATGTTGAATGTAGACTATGGACCGAACATGATTGTGATCCAATGCCTCTTTTGCAGATCACAACACCCAAAAGGAGAGAGAGAACACAGGGGAATACCCTGCCACAGAGGCAGGGTGGGATAGGGGGATGGGGTTGGGAGGGATACTGGGATCCATGGTGGTGGAAAATGGACACTGGAGTGATGGGAGTTGATCATTGTATAATCGAAACCCAAGCACAAAATTTTGTAAGTCTACAACTGTACCTCATGGTGTTTCACTAATAAAAATTAAAAGAAAAACAAAAAAAAAGAAATTCTCAAGAGTAACCAAACCAGAACTTATAATACATGCTCAATGTTGAAGGACAGTCTTCATCATGTATTGTTTTCAATGATTCTCCAGTCAACTGTGCATAAACCGTGTTCCAGAAGAAAAATGAAAAAGAAAAAAAAGAACTGGGACTCTTCCTACTGTGTCTTTGTACCCACTCTGCAATGAGAGACCAGCAGGAAAAACTGAAAAGGATAAGGTATTCGACTAACTTGATGTCATGTCTCAAGAAACAAAATAAAAAGCCCACTTTCTTAGAGCAAGCAGAAAGCATTAACTTGGTCAGTCGCCATGAGTGCCTCTGAAACAAAGCACCAGACAGCTTATGCAACCAGGACAGAAAGGAAAAAATAAGTCAACTGGAACAGTTTATGCATAAAAGGAAATGTTCTTCCTTTTCAAAAAGTAAACAGATAATACTCTTAACAGTGTACTGAAAGGTAAAAATAGGCACGCTGGTACTGGGCAGAGCCACAGATCCAATTTATTTTTCTGTTCCAAACTCCTCAGGGTTGCTAAATAATTCTCCCGCATGTAAAAAGGCCTGCTAGGAAAAATAGTTCCTGTGACAAAGTGTGCTCATACACCACAAGAACAAAAGGAATAAAAGAAGTTGCTCTAAGAAATAAAGAATGTGAGAGTTCTACGTGACAAAGCTGTACAAAGGAATGACAAGGTGACAGTAAAACAGAAAAGAAAAAAAGAGAAAAGAAGAGAAGAGAAGAGAAAAGAAAAGAAAAGAAAAAAGAAAAGAAAAAAGGAAAAGAAAAGAGAAGAAAGAATATGTATGTTTCATTTCAGAAAAAGGCTAATAGGAAACCTCACCAACAGCCGTCTCATAATTCAGAGGCTCTGCCGCTTACTAGTGATTGGCTCGGAACCGGATTTACTGAGTCATAAATGGTCATTAAGAACACTTTTATGTGTCCCTTACATCAATTTCCTGAGGAAGACAGGAAACTAAGAAAATGGGAAATATGAGTTTGTTCTCTAATTCTTTGGGAGCTTTACTTTCACAAACCCAAACTCCAAATCCAATTAAATATGTAATTGCACGGAACTCACAACCGATTTTGGTTTTGTGTCAGATTTTCTAAAGATAAAACTTTGTGATGTGAACTCAGACAATGAATCTTAAATAACTTTAAATGAAAACAACATCTGCTACAGAAAGTATGCTGCTATCTTCATTTACAGTTAGTTATGAAATCAAATTGTCAGTTCATATTATTGCAATTTAGGATTTCGATTTCAAAAGGACTTGAAGCATTGAATCTGCAGACGCTATGCCTTCCTGGGGATGAGACCTTCTGACCCCCAGAAGTCTGCTCCAACGTGGCATCTCTGATTCTGATGTGCTTCCAAACAAAGGGGGCATCGTGGACTCCTTGCCAATTCCAAGGGCTCAGTTCCACTTTCTAAAGCACCAGAGAAAAAACCCAATAGGTCCTTTCAATACCATTCTGTTTCACCAGATGACTAATTTTTAAGCCTTTTAGGATTATACTCTCCCTCCAAAACTTGTTGGCTCTGCTTCAGGCCCACAGTGGAACCAATTTCACTTTCTCTCCTTCTCTGCCACTACCGCTCCAGTTATATTCAGCCTTTCCTGTGAGCTGGAGCTGCTTCTTCCTGCTTTCCTGCCACTCTTGGATCTTCCCCAGAGAACAGGTAAATCTGGACTTTCGTGAAGAAAAAATCTTCACTGTGTCCCTGGTTGCTAATAACCCTTAGCAACCCAGTCCTTTCCTCACTGGCAAAACATTTAAATCTTTCCCACTTGGCATATCTCATAGAGGATCTCATGAGTCCTTGAACTGCCCCCACCTCCACAGATCCTGAACATGGCCTGGCAGCTCACTTCCCTGTTCAACACACTTCATCTCCAGTTTCCTTTCTTCAGATAATATGAACTTTCCCTTGGCACAGCTGGTCTATGGAATGAATATCTTCTTTGCCGTGGTCAAGTGATGTGCCATGCTGGTCTCACATCACTTGTCCTTTCTTCCTACAAACTTTTCTTAGGTCTCCAGATAACAGCAATGGGATCCTAATGCGTGCTGAATCACCCTTCACCGCATTCATCATCATGTGTTTTATATTTCTAATGCCTTAATAACACCATTCTTATGAATAACAGTACAAGATCTTATGGAAGTCTCACTCTGTGCTAAAAGTATTAGAAGCAGAATTGTATTTAAGTTTCATAAACCAGGAGCATTTACTATTACTACCTACATGTTCTTGGTGAGAAAACTTGTCTACAATGAATGGAAGAGTGGAAAAGAATCTGGTTGACAATTCCAGAATCTACTGGTATTCTTAATTTTACAGAATGAGGTATTGACTCTTCACTAACTTCGTAGTCCCACAAGGCATGGATACTAACTACCAGGAGAGTCAATGAGAATCAAACTGTGGTCATGTTTGCTACAAAATCAGAAAAATGTTTCTGTATTTTCTTCTGCACTGTGTGGCTCTCCTGTTATTTGAGGCCCCTAAATATCTCTGAAAAGTATCAGATCAATGAGTAAATATGTTAGTAAATATGTTAAATAATATATCAAAAATTATTTTGGGGTCACACTCAGTGATGCTCAGGGGTTACTCCTAGCTCTGCACTCAGGAATTATTTCTGGCAGTGCTCTTGAGACCATATGGGATGCTGGGAATTGAACCTGGGTCAGCCGCGTGCAAGGCAAATGCCCTACCCACTGTGCTATCACTCCAGCCCCTTCTTAAATTTTCAAGGCACTTTCCAGAAAAAAAATAACAAAGAATAGGAACAAATTGTAGAGATAAGTCAAATGAAATACATTTGACTGTGCTCATTAGCAATAGGGCATGATCCCGTGCATGTGAAATTCAGATTTTTTAGAAAGGGGTTTCAGATAACTTCCACTAATATTAGCAGTGATAATTGCAAACAGTGCTCAAATGTGTAAAATTTGCCAGTTCCTATTACAGTTTGCACATGTAATCAACAACTCCACCAGGTTGTTTATTACAGTCTCCATTTTATTGGAGGGGAAAACAGAGATGCACAAAAAAGTAATCAAGTTGTTTGTTCTGAGACCACAATTATGCCAACAGTGCAGTTGAGCCTACTGTTGTAGGACAACTAAGTAAAGAAAAATTAAAGATACAAGGCTACTAACACATGAAGAGCACCGCATTTGTGCAAAGTAGTGAGATGAGAAGAGGACCCAAAGGGAGCAGGGCACAGCTGGAGTAATATATCAATGATGTTCTATCACAGATGGTGCTAAGAGCTATGGAAAATACTAAATCAAGTTTTAAGGAAATTGGGCAAGGTGATGTATAAAGATTTTATGGGTGACTTGTATTTCTAATAAATAATAAAGATCTGACTTAGCTTGCTGGGGTGAGAAAGTAATCTTGGGCCAATTTATAAGGCCCAAAAGATGGTCCAGAAACAATGATAACCAGATAAAAGAATATCTTTCATTCATATAAGTTTCTGTTAAGGTTCTGTTTTAGACCTAGCATTTCTCTGGGCACTGAACAACTCTGCATTGAGAAAGTTCTCACTCCTATGGGGTTTTATTCTGGCGGGGGAGAGACAGTAAGGACCAAGTCAGCATGGACGTGAACATAGTCTGAGATGAATACAGTGAGCTTTGCAAAGTAGGCAAAGGGTCTAGCATGATGAGAGACCATGGGGCATCAAAGCAAGGTCCCTGGATGACATCATATTTCAGCAGAGACTCTGAAATTGATTTGCTTTTATCCTATTTCATCCTGATCACAATCACAATCACAAATCATCCTGTTAATCGTTGATTGCCTCGAGCAGGCCCCAGTAACGTCTCCTTCATCCTAGCCCTGAGATTATATTCAAGGCTCTTTAGGAGAATGAGACCCATCATTGTTACTGGTATTTGGCATATTGGGTTTGCCAGTCTCTGCCGTGTGGGCAGGCTACATTCGGTAGCCTGCCAGTTTGTCCAAAGTAGGAATGAGATAATAAGATGTCATAATAAGATGTCCTTGGGAGCCCTTCTCTTTATGGATGTTTACACAGTGAATTTTTAGAAAATACAAAGTCTTCTCTGGATAATTAGATCCTCTCTATTCAAAGTTGTGAGATGAATTACCTGTGGATGGTATCTATCACTTTTTCAGAGTAAATGCCTTCTGGCACTGGATCATAGACTGCCTCCACTATCTGCAAAACAGATACAGTAGAGAAGAAAAGGGAGCATTGATATCTCTGAACAGTAATATGAAGCCATTTCATCAGTACTTGGTAAGCAATTAAGCATATAATATCACACATGAATTAACCAAAAACAAAAATAATTCAATCATAAAAACACAAAATTCTCATTAATTGCACATTTTTTTAATATGGGAATTTTATTCTTGAGGGCAAATGAAAGCTAACCTCAGATTCATAATAAATGATTGCATAGGATATTAAAGTATGCTGAATATGGGTGGCCCAAACTACCTTAAAACTAAAAATAATTTGATCAATTTGCTTAAATAATTTTTTATGGTCAAGATAGTGGTTGGGGAAAATGTGCCATAGCATATGACATATTTGTTTAATTAGCCAATGTCTGTTACTTAATTTTAGTGCTTTAGTGTGATCACCAAAGCTTTATTTAAGAAGAAAATGCAATGGTGTTTTTAACCACACTAAACCCAGCTGTCCCTCAAACCTGCTTACTTTTGTAGCCAAGGAGAGCATGTTGGTGCTGTAGAAGGGAGGATTCAAAGTCGCCATCTGATAAAGGATGCAGCCTGCTGCCCACACATCAGCCTTTTCTCCATACGGCTCGCTCTTTAGGACCTCAGGGCTGAATTGAAATAGGTATGTTAATCGATGCTGTGAAGATGAGACATTAGTACAGAGAGATCCAATTTTTAAGCAAAAGTTGGACAGCAGACGTGTGTTTGTATATATATATATATATATATATGTAAACTCTTGATGACTCTTTCAAGTATGCATATTGTTTACTTGCATTCTCCAGCCTTAGATGAATTAAGAAGCACAAACAACTTACTCTAGGTTCACATTATCAGACCATAATAATCTCACCTAAAGTGTCCAAGGAGCTATTGGTCAGAACTCTTGGCTAATCTGTAGGTATTAGACATCCCATCTTTACTGGGGTTTACTGGTGAGCAGTGCTCATGACCCACTAGTGCCTTTGGTTTGATTTGTGTTGTTCTGCTTTAACCAATGGAGTGTTAATATAACAATGCTCTGGATCAAAACCTCAGTTTTAGTGGATATTGAATGCTTTCATTTGTACAGTACTAAGGGAAGATCATATCTCAGGGAGAATCTGCCTTTCCTAAGTACAGAATAGGAGACAGAGCCTAAATTTTATCCTCAGACATCTGCAGCTTGGAAGAGAACTCCCCAGTAAGCCTACAGAATTCTAGATTGACAATAAATTCCTATTGCTCAACATCACACAAGTTTCATGGCGAATTGTCATGCATCATTAGGATGGGGAAATATCGCTGATACAACCTCATTCCCATTGGCTGCGCAACATTAGTTTATAAAGTAGGGTAAGATCATATTTAAATACCTCTTGGAGATGACAAGTTTGATTTGTTTGCCTCTTCCTAAATTGTACTTCCAATCTGGAGAAAGGTGCTGTTATATATGAAGCTTAACTAGATGGGTTTATGGGTTTTGTCATTGTTTTATATGGAGGGAAGTACAGTTCCCTTGGACACTTTGAACTAACAGAAATTTATGCTATCATATTTGTAGAATGAAACTCACTGAAGTGTTAAAGCACCCAACATAAGCCCACTCTGAGTTAATTAGATAGCTCAGTTCCATGCTGTGTATTTAGGACTGTGTTCAGTCCTCTAAATTTACATCGTGTGGATTAGCAGCTAATTTTGTCAGTGAATTAGCATGTGGGTGCCAGTGTGAGTGTTGATCATCAGTGTCCCACTCGCACTCAAATGTGGCTTAATTAGTACAAGTTGCAGCACCAGTATCAATGAAGGTTAAGAGAAACTGAAAAAATAAATAAATCAGCATCAGAACAACCAAAACTGACATAAATAAATATTTACTAGGACGATTAAGTATGTGACCCTATTCTTGTGAGGTTATGGGGGATTCCTGGTGTAAGATTTACATTCTGAGTTGCAGAGGCAAGTATGATTTCAAGGTCTCTCAGTTGAGCATTTTCAGTTTTGGTGTTGTTGAATTCAATAATATGGCATTAGGGTGTAGGATAACACTGTTTTGTCCTTCCTGCATAGCCTTAGGTAGTTTAGGTTTATTGGGTTGCTCCCATCACAGTGCTCTCATTCCTCTGTGTTTATCTGTAGCTTCTTTCTTTGTGCTCTGTTGACTTGTAAATACTGTTTTTCTCTTCTCCCTACATCCTTTGCATTTTTTATTCAGAGCAACATCCTTTTTGTATGGACACAAGAAGACAGTATATGCTATGCTTTTGTAACATGACTCTCAGTGATACTTTCCTCCTGGGCATCTGTTCTCTCAATCTGTTCTATTCAGCTGCCCTTACTTACTAGCGCCCCCAAAAGCAGGGTCCCAACAAGGGACTGGATGGAACCAGAGCAAGTGATAAGCTATGTGCTACCCTGGCATCGAGATAGGCCTGGCCAAGGCACCATAATGCTTAACTATAAGTTAAGAGTTTGGTCATGGACAAATGCTGTCGTGATCCAAAAAGTAATAACTAGATTCAGACCCTGCTAGGGTTAGGAATGATTAAACTGGCCTGAGCACTGTAGTCTGAGTCTGTGGCAAGATGTTCCCAGGAGAGCTGCCCTACAAACCTCAATATATCTCTTACTGTGTCCATACAAAAATAACTAATATTAAGAGGTTGGTAGTTATTGGACTGAGGAAAGGAGAAAAACACCTTGGGCAGTCAGGAAGGGCTTTGCAATATCTCTTGGATGGTGTTTCCTTTGAACCTGGTGGGCCCTAAGGAAGGGCCTTCTTTTTTTTTGTAGGAGTACTTCTATTTATTCAGCCACTGATTAGCTGATTGAAATGGGCATGAACTCCACCTTAATTTTTTTAATTTATTTTTTCCTTTTTATATTTATTTATTGAATCACTGTGGGATAAGTTACTAAGCTTTCAGGTTTAAGTCTCGATCATACAATGATCAAACACCTTTCTCTTCACCGGTACTCATTTTTCACCACCAACAATCCCAGTATACCCCCCCTCCCACTCCTCCAAATGCCTGTGAGGCAGATGATTTCTACTTAACTCTTCTCTACATTGATTGCATTCATTATTTCAACAAAAGATGCACCATTATTATTTTAGAATTTCCCCCCAAACAATCAGAATTGCTGAAAAGGCATCGTGAGATATTTTGTTTTCTATAGCTGGTTATGAGAATCATATACTGTCACACAGCCATGATTTTGGATTTCTGCAAAGAGCCAGATAATTACAAGATTGATTTCTGTGTGTCTGGTGTTATGGCCATGCCGGAGAGCTGCTCCTGGGGGGTAACTAGTGACCTCGGTAGGGCGTGAAGGACATGCCGGTATCACCCCCAGGAAGAACTTTCTTATGTTGATTTTGCTACCAGACTATGCAGACTTTCAGCCCAGAGTGCAGGGCAGTTGGAGAGACCAGACACCTGGAGATGGAAGAGAGAGCAGGATGGCAAGATGGACATGGAGAGACTAGCAAGGGGGACCGAGGGAGAAGAATGTAGAAGAAGAATACAGGAGCAAGCATGTGGAGAGAGAGAGAGAGAGAGCCCAGGCTGTGAGATGAAGCACAGAGAGATAAGCGGGAGAGACAGGAGGAGACGGGAATGAGGGGCAGTGTGAGACTAGAATGGGGGACTCAGAGAGACTGTGGATTAGCAGCTAATTTTGGCTCGTAGGGAGAATGGAATAAACGGCATCTGATCAATCAATTGGCTTGGCCCTCGTCTCCTCCTTTGTCTCTCATAGGGAGAACGGAATAAACGGCAACTGATCAATCAATTGGCTTGGCCCTCGTCTCCTCCTCTGTCTGCCCCATGGCCCGGGCCACCCAGACTCAGGGAGCGGGGCTGGCCCATCCCTAACACTGGCAGCTAGGGGAAGAGCCGTCGGGTCCCCCTCCACCAGCCTCCCCTAAAGAAATTATACATTAGGGCAATTTGGGGTGAAATCCCAGGGCTCTGCTGGCCCTAAGTATATCAATTTTAAAAATCCACTGTTGTCCCTTAATCAACAGCTCACATTTAAAATGCCTTAACAATAAACAATGCACTCAACAGAAAAAAAAAATGTTCCTGATTTCCTACAGACCAGTTAGTCATGTTTTAAACTACTGAGGACACAGAAGATGTGTTTTAAACTACTGAGGACACAGAAGATGTGTTTCATACTTCCTAAAGCTCAGGGAGCAGCTGCTGCAAATGAGCTCTCTCCCTACTCTGTTCTTTTCCATTTCCTCTTTCCATTCTCAACAGCCAGCATCTGTACTTCTCTGAAGTTCAGCTTTCTCAAAAGATAATGCCTTCATGCGGTGGGAAACAGTTGCAAGACTTTATTCAGCGAATTTTTTTCTTTACATCACCTCTTTCCCACTAGAGACCACAAAACCTTCTAATTCCTACAGACATACTCCTAGAAAAAGTGGCTGTATGGAGTTTACTTCTCTATCAATTGAAAACGTTCTTGACAATAGAACTTTACTTATCTAAAGAGGCACTAGCAAAAGTGATGCCAAGGAAGACTTCTGAGGGGCTTTGCTGTATGCTCTTGAAACCCTTATAATGCAACCAAGTAACAGCCTAGGTTTACCTGCTGGATGAGAAACACAGGGTACCCAGTTAGCTGTGCCATTCACACTCACAGGGAATCAAACCCCAGATATGTAGATATGTGGTAAAGAAATTAAAAAGCAGGAAACCACAATGCAAAGGTGAGTACAGGCAATATCAAGTAGCAATTCCCAAAGGGAATGGCCCCTTAGTCAGCACACCATGTACAAAGTTAGGGAGAAGGTTTGTGTTAAGCCTCTAAGTTCTGAAGCAGTTTGTCAACTTGAACTGGTATCATAATCTTCATTAGAGTCTCAAAGCTTCCCATGAACCCCTAAAATAATAAAATAACTTTTCTTCAAGAGAACAGAATGAGAGATGAAAGGTAAAAGAACACAAATGCTAATTCTCACTCTACTTCTGAGACAAGACTTCAAATATTCTCTAAAATGAAAATGTTGTAATTCCACCAAAAGAAACTACTAACCATTCCATCAAATGAAACTACTAATAGAAAACGATGTATGATTTCTGGTAGTCACAATAAAATGTCCTGTTATGGTATCAACTACACTCATTACCCCAAATTCATATGTGGAACCCAATCTTCAGAATTATGGCTAGTATCCATACTTAAAGTCTGTAAGAGTGGATTCAGATACAATTATGCATTGTAAGTTATGAAAATAGAAAAATTATAAAATATTTAGTGAGGGAAGACCAAGTTTTTCTTTGGGTAAGTTGATTTTGAAACACCATTGTGAGGGGCTGGAGCAATATCACAGTGGATAGGGTATTTGCCTTGCATGCAGCCGACCCGAGTTTGATTCCCAGCATCCCATATAGTCCCCTGAGCACCACCAGGAGTGATTCCTTGAGTGCAGAGCCAGGAGTAACCCCTGTGCATCGCTGAGTGTGACCAAAAAAGCAAAAATAAATAAATAAATAAATAAAATTTAAAAAAATCATTGTGAGATGTCAACGCAATAAGTACAAATGTTGCATAAAATGCCATAACAGTTTATGCGCCAACCATAATATACTTGGATTTGTTTGGTTTTGGTAAT